GCGCGGGTTCTGGCCCCCCCAAGCCACGTGGAGCCTTACCCAGGCCGAGCTGTGCGGGGAGCTGCCCTTCGGCAGCAGCAGCCTCACGATCTCCAGGTTGTTGTGGTGCACGGCCACGTGCAGGGGGGTCAGGCCGTTCTGGGGGAAGCACAGACAGGTCAGTCGCAGCCCAGCCCCCCGGCCCAGCCCCATGGCCCGGCCCCACTCACCTTCCCCGCCGCGTTGGGATGGGCCTCGCGCTCCAGCAGGGCCCTGGCCACGTCCACCTTCCCGTACTTGGCTGCAGCGTGCAGGGGGGTAAATCCTTTCTGAGGAGAAACACGGAGCCTCAGGGCCAGCGCAGGGGCCGGCACCAGGAGACGCAGGAGAGGAGTGGCCCAGGCCTCCCAGCCCCGCTCAGCACGGCCGGGGACCAGCCTACCTTGGTCATGCAGGCCTGCGAGGCCTCCTTGTCCAGCAGCGCCAGGGCGGTGTCCACGTGCCCCTCCCGGGCAGCGATGTGCAGGGGCGTGTGCCCGGCGGTGGTGGCCAGGTTGGGGCTGGCGTCGTTCTCCAGCAGCAGCTTCACCATGCTCGTGTGGCCGATGCGTGCGGCGCAGTGCAAGGGGGTCTGGTCGTCCTGGGCGAGCAGCAGAGGGGTCAGGGCCACGCCCTGTCTTGTCTGAGAGGGGCAGCCCGCTTCCTAATGGAGACGTGTGCCTCGGAGCAGGCAGGGGCACGCTCAGGGAACCCTGGCCAGGCCATCATGCCTGTCCCGAGTGACCCCCCTCCGCAGGGCTCAGACCTGCCCCTGGGGCACTGGGGAGAGACCAGCGCCCAGCCTGGCCTCAGGGACAAGGGGGTTGTGCTACGCTTGGGCTGTGGGTGACCCCTACTGGCCTGTGTCTGTAAGCACTGCCCAGCGGGGGTCGCGCTGAGGGCCCTCATGTCATGTAGACCATGGCCCAACCGGCTCTCGCTGACCAGGGAAGGGAGGGGGTGGTTTGGAGAAGGGGAAACATGAAGAGAAGAGACTGAGCCGAGTGCGGGGGGGTCAGGGGCCTATGTCCCCCTGCCCCAAGGGGTCTAAGGCTGCCTGGCCCGGACTCCTATCTCCACATCGCGCCTAGGCTGGGCTGTATCCTGGAGAAGCGCAGAGTCTCTGTCACATTCCCGGAGTTTAAGGGAAGCAGCCAGGTCACTGCTGCACCCATGGGGGGTGTTCAAAGGGGGCCATGTGCGGTGTCAAAAGAAAGCTTACGTTCTACTGACTCTGTACCTGCTCTTCATGTGTCTGCACAATGGCTGTGTGTGGAGTTCTGAGTATGTTCTCTATGTGGTTGAGCAATAGGCGAGAAAAGCTCAGCCTAAGGACATGCTAATTAGCAAGCCACCAGGAACAATAGGTATCTTAAGTACCAGAGATCCCCCTGGGAAGGAATCTAGGTGCCTGGCCAGAGACCATGTGACTCTCTCCAGCTTAGAAGAAGCCGGGGAGGGACATAAATAGGCCATGTGGCCGACTCCATCTTGGTGCTCAGCTCAGCTCTTCATCCCAGATGCAGCCTTGCAGGGATCAACGAGCTGGGAAGAACTGTGGACCCATCCTGACACTGGATGTGCACCAAGCACTGTTAAGCCAGCAGCTGTAACGTCTCTGCTAGAGCCTGCACCGAGAACTGGGAGATTCGATGCATGTAACGTACGATCCTTTAACAACCTCACTCTCAGGCTTTGCTTTCTTTTAGTAATAAGCCTTTAGATGGTAGATGCTAAAGGATTGGCCCAGCGTGATTTGTGGGTAAGGTCCAGAGGGTAAATTGACCTGGGATCTGTGGCTGGTCTCTTGGACCGGACAGAACCTGTTCGGGGTAGGTGAGCAGGGTAGGGCCTGTGGGCAGGCCCGGGGCTGTTTGGGGCATGGAGAGAGCTGGGGTGTCTGAGGGGTTTTGCTCGTGAGGCTTCAGGCTGGCCAGGTGGCAGCTGAAGTGCTCTATGGGACTGGTTTGTGGCCTGTTTGAGAAGGGCCGCTAGTCAGGGGCTATAGAGAGCCCCGAGTTTGAGCAATTTGCTCTGAGCGGACGCCCTCAGTGGTGCCCAGACCCGGCCCGGCCCGTCACAGTCCCAACTTGCTTCAGATGGGACGCAGGGTCGGGGGGTACCTGACGTGCCTCCATAGGGGTCCCCAGGGCTGGGGGGGACACCTGCCTTCCCAGAGCACTTGGCCTCTGTGCGCCCTGCCCCACGGGAACCTGCCAATCGTTGCAGCTCCCTTGGGAAGTCCAGGAAGCCTCAGGGGGAACCGGAGAACACCCCAAGCCATGGCACACGTCCCACTGGCCTGGCTCAGGAGAGAGGGGCTCCAACGGGCCGGAGCTCCCTCCCTGTCAGACGTACCTTGGCTTTCGCATTGACTTTGGCTTTGTTCTGCAGCAGGTACTTGGCCACTTCTGTGTGCCCGGCTCTGGCTGCCATGTGCAGCGGTGTCTCCACCTTCTGTGTCCAGGGCAAGGGGAGAGGAGAGTGAACGAGGGGGCTCCCTGCTCCCCCCAGCACAGCCTGCCAGTCACTGCACCAGGCCGAGCCCCCAGACACATGCAGGCTCCTTGCTGCCAACCCCAAGGGCCACTGCGAGGGCCTGGGGCAGCTGCTGCAGCCTGGCAGTGGGGCAAGGCAGGACCCCACACGACATGCCCCGCGCCCTGCGGGGACTCACCACGTTGGAGACGTTGGGGGACGCGCCGCGCTGGAGCAAGATCTTGACGATGGACAGGTGCCCCATGAAGGCGGCCACGTGCAGAGGGGTCAGGCCAGACTGGGAGAGACGGGCAGGGAGTCAGCCCAGCTGGCACAGCACCAAGAGATCTCCTCCACCGCACTGACACGAGACCCAGCCGCAGGGAAGGGAGGAGGCCTCGCCCCACCCCCGGGTTTATCCTCCAGCTCTGCTGGGCCTGGGAGGGGCCCTGGAAAGAGCCCGGCAGAGAGCGTCTGAGCTCCCGCCCACGGCTCTGCCCCATGCCGCCAGCAGCCCCTCTCCAGGTCAGCTGGGAGCACGGGACGCCCCACTGGCACCATGCCAGGGCTCCCACCTTGGTACGGAGACAGCGAGCGGCCTGAGATCCCTGGGTGCCCAAACTCCCAGGCCAGGGAGAGCGATGTCCAGGCACCCAGAGCCAGGGGGTCCTAGGGTGGCCAGTGCCACAGCCCGGCCGGAAGAGGAGAGCTCCCTGCTGCCTTGCTCCGTGGGCAGGGGGCTGTTCCCTGGGCCAGAGACCACGGAGTCACCAGAACAAGGTAACCGGCAGCACTGTGGCCCCCACCCCTTGGGCCGCAGCCTGCCTGGCTCCCCCAGCTGCATGCGGCCCGCCAACGGGGCTTCCTACCTCCGTG